TTATACATTTTACAATTCCTGGAGAAATAAAGTAAACTGTTTACTATCCTGTGATCACAATATTGGAAAAATAATGTAACCATTGATTATATATAATGCAAAACGAGAGGAATAATTCGTAAATTGTTTGTGACTAACGCGCACCTGGCGAATCGTTAGATATCACTGTTCTCTGTATCCAACGACATAAAAGACAAATCCAAGACCAAGACATTTCAGAAATGTGTGCATATATTTTACCGAAAAATATTATCCATTTTGTTAAAGTAACATATTCAGTTTTAGTTATAAAATAAAATGAAACGGCTATATTCATGGACATTGGTTATATGAACTTATAATATTGACTTATTACACATCCCAAGAAATACGTACATGCTGCAGTTACATTTACACTTCATCTTGTGACACTTGTCCAAAGGAAAGAAATATCGTAGTTGACACTATAAACCTATCACATTGTTGTGTAAACAATGCTCAAACAAACAGGAGATTATCAAAGGTTCGTTCATACATGTTGTGGTCTATATGTACGTATGATTTCATTTTGAGATTGACAAATATCCAAAGCGAAATTCATTGTGTGAAAAAATGTATAAAAGACATGCAAAATATACATTATAACTGAAACTGTAAACAGCATGATACAATGACCGTGTGCACTCTCATTCAAGGACCTTCACCTCAAAGAAATTACCAAATATGTACAACAATGTTGACGTATGACATCACTACCTGTGACCCACTTTTACAAAATGGCGTGTACACTTTCAACAGTACGCGGGAATGTACGAGGGGACTTTCGTTGATTCAGGGATCGTATAAACATAAATGTGACATGTAAGTAATCAGAAACATTCTGACAATCTATGTACTGTTATTTGTTTTCATAATTTTCATTGAAACAAACGGAAATAGTCAGAAATTCCGATAAATACCGTTGTCGTTGTGCGTGATTTTGCGTCAGTAATGACGTCAAACGGTAACTTTGACAATTTCTGTTGAAAATATCAAATCATTGCAATGTATCTATTTGAAATTCCCTAATTCTTCCTACGATTCTCTTCCCATGCATATTCTGTAAATGTTGAGCCAATATCTTGAACGAATAGACGAATGGATAGCTCAAAATAGGATAATATGCTACACTGTGTAAAGTCTGAATTTTGCTTTGTTTACATTTCAACCATGTGCAGTTTTTCAAGCACAGCGTTCGTTTTCACACCTAACTTATTTTGCTTGATTTCATCTAGCCACTCTGTATTCGTGACAAAGACCACTGGTCATTTGATTCTAAAATGTATGAGGAATTCAAGGATGTAGGTATCGCAGATAAGTTTGAAATATACGTGATGTTACAGGCGTCTCATAACCGGTGTACCTGAAACGTGATTTTGTAAACACTATCCAATATGGCGGAAAGTTCACTTCGGCGTTCGTGTTTTCGTTTTTTCCAAAACATTCTAAACGATTCTAGGGTTATCGGAGACGTTTTGGAATGATCATTGGTGATTTCATAAAAGACAGATATCGGTGATCACTAATATGCTATTTTTGAAATTCATTTCTCCGAGTAAATATCCGAAATTTAGATTTCAAAACATGCTGTAAATAACGCCGTGAGTGGTGATTTAGTAATGTGTAAAAAATGGCGACATTTACGATGTACCTAATTTTCAGAGGTCATGTTCAGTATGTTTGCATGGCCTAAAATGCCAGTGGATGATATCACAGAACAGGGAATTTCCCACCTTATTCAAAACTGTAAAGTGTAGTTGTGTGGGTGATGTATTTTGAATTTTATTCGACTTCAAAGTGAGGGTTGTAGAGGAGGGACATATATGTCCCTGTGGCATCCAGGGGGTTAAGCTCTTTCACAGCTCCAACAAAATTCGTCCCGTTGTCCGATATGATCTCCTTGGGCATTCCCCTTCTGTGTGCCATGCAGAAGAGAGCATTCAAGAACGAATTTGTGTCTAGTCCAAAAGCGATCTCTAAATGTACAGCGCGTGTAGCTAGGCATGTGAACAGGCACAGGTAACGCTTTTGACGGCTTTTACCTCGACCCTGTACAGTAAGAAATGGACCAGCAAAATCTACCCCAGCTTGAACAAATGCTCTCATTGAACAAACTACTCTCACCTTTGGAAGATTGCCCATGAGTTGTTGTGCTGGCTTTGCTTTTTGTTTTTTGCACCAAGAACATGCATTTTCCCATTCACGAATTTCCTCCCTCGAGCAGTCATTAACTAAAAAAGAAAAACACAAGAAAACAAAAGTCTTTACGGACATTTGTCATGCCACGCCTTTCAAATGTGCAACGTGAACGTGCCACCGGCATGTTGCAGACGGGAACGTCCGTAGCTGAAGTCGCAAGGACGATGGGTTGTAGTCGACGGACTGTTTATGATTTACAGACGCGTCTACAGCAAACGGGTACCACCGCTGATCGCCCTCGGCCAGGTCGACCACGTGTGACGTCACATGCAGAGGATCGTCAGATTGTCTTACATCACCTCCGTAACCGATTTTTGCTACATCAACCAGAAATGAACTGTTTAGGGGTAGACTGAGTGCGCAAACTGTTCGAAACCGTCTGAGAACTGCTCACCTTCAAGCACGACGGCTTTTTTTGTGATTTGACATTAAGCGTCTGTAGTACGACTTTCAGTGATCATGTTTATGAGGTTTGGTGGGGCATTGTTTTTATTGGACCCTAATTACTTTATGATGGTTGGGCCTCTTCGTCTCAGCTCCATAGCGGTGACGCTGGGAAAGGGGAGCATTTAATTAATGAGAGTAGAATATATCCTGGACGATACACTTGAGGGAGAGGGCTATACTGATTACCGTACCACAGGAAGAGACCTGTAGACGTGAGCACGGGGTTGTGTGTAAGATGGTCGTCGCATAATGGCCGCCAGGAGTGGTAAACATTGAGCTAAAGCAGTGTTGTTTTCACGGGCCTGTTGAATAAATTTCCGGTGCTGCTGACCATATATCTTCTACTTGATCCTGGATACATCATTTTGGCATTTACATTATAATATTTTTCAACGTACATTAATGGTTTACTAGTCATAGATTTTAGAGTATTTGTCAATTGTGGTGAACGTACAAGCAATAATTGTAATTTGTGGTGACATCTAAATTTAAACGTCTCATTTAAAACAATAAGTAAGTATGATAGTAAATAATAATATTCAAATCGCATTAAACTACAATGAGACATCATATGAATATGACTATATATGCAAATGTTACGAAACTGTACCTGTCTTCACGAATTATTAAAAAATGGGCATAAAGTTCACGGAGACGAAGGCTATAGATACAATACCATATTTTATTTTTTAGATGATAAAGTACATCATTTGATAATGAATTCAGTTATTGATCTCTAAAAACCGATTTTCCATATTAATAAACATTTCATGATAAAAAACAATCAAATGTGTGACATAAATTCATTCTTTAGTATCCATAAATGAATTATTGATATCATATAATGAATAAATAGTAAAAAGGCGCCCTATATATTGTTCTTTGTGGACTGTATTAAGTAACGCATTTGCATCACGGTTATAATGTTAATTGCTAGTCTTTTTTCTGCACCATCATTTCTTTCATCTTATGAAAAAATGGCAACTTATAATTAACTTATATATAGCACTGGTATAAATAAATAGTACACACACTAATTTAATGTCACAACTGTCACATACAGCACTAAAACTACTATATTTCAAGCAGGGGTCCGGAAAATTTAAAATCCCAATCGGACATTTGCATGTAGACCACGCCCCCTTCAAATAGCGTATTTTAGTACGACTTTTCACACACATTACAAGTTTACATATTCATAATATGACGAATTATGAATTGTTTCAATTTAAATTGTTTAATTCACTGGACAATTAATAACAAATAATATCATTTTAGATTTACATGGAAAACATACGTTTGTTTCTGTTATAATAGCGATCTGTTAACGTAGTGAAAGGTCTAATTAATATTCATTAGTTATATTCATGAGTCTGCTCAAGTGTACGCGTTGTAACATTTGGATCGAGACTATTATCCCATATTTGGTTATCACGTGACCTCACGGGAAAAGGTTTTTTTTAAACTAAAGATTTTTTTAAAAAACAAGACAGATAATTTAATCACAAATACTAAAATATCGTTGATAGCAATAGTTATTTGAATACTTTTTTCATCTGTACTTAATTATTGACCATAAAAAAATTGGATATCGATTGTCCGAGAAAGCAAAATGGCGGTCAATCAAGATTCAATATACGACTAGCTACTGAAAACAATAAAATCTGCAAATCCTCATTGTATGTCAACCAAGTGAAAGTCGTTAGCCACGACTTACAAAATGATCGTCCAGACTTTGAGGGTTTGGCAGATCCGCTCGACTGATCTGCATCGGTCGACTGGCTGTCATCACGCTTTCGCTTCTTGTCTGAGGTTACGTATGGTAGCATTGTGAGGATAATGAGGTACATCGATGATGCAAGGTATTAATGTACAGTGGTAAACACCTTTCACTCAAATTAACAAGATGTTCTCAGTAATTAATCCTCGATTAATCAGTGTCAACTCAGTTTATTGCCTATTACAGTGATTGACCGATTGGACTATCATGTAGGTACGATGTATTTACAGCAATCAAAACAAACAAAGCTTGTCAGTGTAGTTAATCTTCATTGTGTTGCAACTGCAGACAGAAACTGCTCAGTCCTAACTGTTGATCATGTCCGGTCAAAATTTAAGAATGTCCGGACAATACTTTTTAAAATGTCCGGAAAGCAATATTTTAAAACGGACATTTGAGATTCCCAATCGGACATGTCCGGCGCATATGACGGTTTCCGGACCCCTGATTTCAAGTCTCTTAACCAAGTTTGAGAAGATGACCAACAGCATCAAGGAACTCGATAGGGGTTTTCTGTCCTTGAGTCAACATGTCCTTAAGACGTCTCAGGCGATTTTCAGTCTCTCTGTAAACTCGCTTCCTGCTGTGTGGGGCGGCACCAAAGTCTAACTGTTTTTGTCCTGTCTGCACACTCAATCTTCTTAATCACTTCTACAAATCGGTAGATATTCGGGTGGCGGTGGGGTAAGGTTCTGTTAAGGCCATGGTGGAATCCCTCAAGATTGTTGTTGGTGCGAGGGCCGGCTGTCTGGTGGTGATTCAAGAGAGGTATTGGAAACCGAGCATCATCGTCAATTGATGACCATATAGTGATGACCATATAGTCATTGAAGTCTTCAGTTCTCAGAACTGGTGGAGTTGCCTGCTTAGCATCCAACCAGGTGTCCTGGACATCACGCAAGGGCAGGAGGGCAAGTCCAGCAGCTCTTCTGATCCAGGATCTTCCTTGTACTGTACTGCTAATCCAAGATCCTGTGTCTTCCGCCAGATCGCCTGACAATAAGGAAAAAAACAACCTTTGACGTCGGCATTCGGGAACTCTGTGTTGACGGCACGAATGGCAGCCTTCTCAAAATCCGTCTGGGCAGTGGCAGGAGCGAGGGGACGGTTGAAGATAGATAAGATAAGATAAGATAATATTTTATTTGCGTGTCACGCAGTATAAAAATACATACATTCAAAGTACAAGACAAAATATATAATACACCACCCGGCCGGCCGGTTGGCCTATGAGACACGAGAGATAAAAAAATAGCTCAGTTTTATATGAAGAGATTATGCTGGTATCGCTTAGTGAGATACTTGTGGATCAGAAGTGCACTACTTACAATGCAAGTTGAAATTTTCTTCTTTTATACATAGCAGTAGCAACTGCGGCTAGGGGAATAGCTAGACTGTCATTCTGAATAACATATATAAATTGGTCTTCTGGGGTTAAACTTCTTAGACAAGTATGTATTGGAGAAAACAAATGAGAATAGTCATATCGTAGATCAGAGTAAAATTCACATTCTGTGAGGAAATGTACTTCGTGTTCGACACACTGGCGGTCACATAACCTACATAAACGGAGGTGTAGTGGTGTCTTTGGACGGGAGTAGCGACCAACTTCAACCTCAAAAGGGAGAGAACTGCAGCATAGTTTTGCCATGGTACTACGTTGCTGTCTGTCTAAAACAGAGCGGACATAGGTCGACGTATTTAGAGTATTCTTAAAGAGTCTGAAAGTCCTCAGCTTATTCCCATGTTCATGACCAGTGTCATTCCATAAATCACGTGACCAACAATCGGCGTCCTTGCATCTCAAAGTGCGTGAGATTAGATGGAATTCACTAATAGAGAAATTAAACAAATCCATAGATGGAAGTTGTAGTGATATAAACATTGCGTTAACTGTCTTATCCCATGATTTGCGGAAGGTAAGAGACCAATTTCAAATCTGTGAAACAAGTCTAGATTGCGGAACAGAGTTTATCTTTCTCCAAAATCGGAAAACTTCTATTTTCTGTTTAGTAAGCTGAGCAGGCCAACCAATCTCGCCCCGGACAGCTAAATTTGGAGTATATTTACCCACCCCGAGAAAAAACCGACAAGCTTTATTTTGAACTGCGTTTATACAACTGAATTCTCGATTGCCAAAAATAACTGAGCCATATGATAAAATTGGTTGAACAAGATTATTGAATAGCGTATTAAATACGTCATATGGCATTCCTCCAAAAAGTTTAAATTTACTTATAATTACACCCAGAGCTCTACTCGCGGATTTGGCGATTTCTTTGGCTGTAGAATTCAAATTTAAGTGTTCTTCTAGCCATAAACCAAGATATTTGTATGATGAGCATGTGTCAATGTTGTCATTGCCACACTGAAACTCAAATGATGTTCGTTTCACAGATGGTGGCCGGTAATGTACTCCTTTAGTTTTGCTGGTATTAACTTGAATTCGCCATCTCTTACACCAATCAGCAACACAGTGAAGCATTGATTGTAATGAATGCTCATTTGGCGCAATTAATGCTATGTCATCAGCATACATCAAAAGACTGAGAAGACTACCACCAACGTCTACACCGCATTTTAGATTGTTTATCTCATGGGCCAGGTCATTAATGAATACTGAGAAAAGTGATGGGGACAAGACACATCCCTGCCTGACACCGCTCTGTATATCAAACCCTTCAGTAAGCCGTTTATTTACCAATACACAGGATACACTGTTGTCATATAAAGACTTTACAGCAGAATAAAATTTACCATTAATTCCCAACTTCATCAGTTTGTACCATAAGCAGTCTCGATTAACACGGTCAAAGGCCTTCATGGCATCAATATAACAGACAAATGTAGAGGACTTTGAAGATTTCCTGTTATTAATTACTGAAAACAAAGTGTATATGTGCTCAATAGTATTACGCTTACTTCGAAATCCATTTTGCTCCTCAGCCAATATGTCATTATCTTCTAGCCAACTTGTGAAACGAGAGTTTAGTATATCTGAATATATCTTACAGGGAATGGAAAGTAGTGATATACCACGATAGCCAAGGGGATCTCTGGAGTCACTACCCGGTTTCTTAATAGGCGTTATTATACTTTCATGCCAAATATATGGACAAACATTATTCTCGAAGCAGTAAGTAAATATCCAGTGCAGAATGTCAACAGAAGTCTCATTCTTAAGTGCCTCTGCAGGTATATGGTCACAGCCTACGGCCTTACCACACTTAGAGCGGCTAACAGAGGGTACTACCTCATCGCGTGATATAGGGGCCTGCAGACTGTTTACATCTACATCTACCTGAGGACTTCTGTTTTGAGTCGGCTGAACAGTCTGGTGTAAGTTGTGGTCTGTCTGTCAGGCAGGAGGGCGAAGACAAGTGGGCACATACAGGAACGACTTCTTGCATATATGATGTATACCTGGTTCCACAGATCTGGGCAAGATGTAAATGTTCCGTCCATGTATACAGTGTCTGCAGACTGCAAAGCTTGGAGTTGGTCATGGGTAGAAAATACAACAATCTTGTTGGCATCGCAATCAGTGAAAAGCAGGAATGGGCGGATGTCTGTTGTTTCAGTCCAGTTTCCTTCAAGTTGGACTTCAGCTCTTGTCTGTGGGAGTGCTGGGTTTTTCTTCCGCCTGTGTCGGTACAAGGCACTGCTCATGGATGGGAACGATGGCAGCAGCTGTGGCTGGTCTTCTGTAGCTACCTCACCGTTGTACAGGGTACGCATCGACATGGTTTCTTCTCTGGCCCTCTTCCTCATGGTACTGATGAATCTTACTCTACTGCTGATACATTTCTGATGAAGTCACCTACAGTGGTGCATCTGCCCTTATAAGTGGAGTCTACACACTTCCAGTGAATGCATGTCTGTCTGACAACATTCTTGTTATAACGATAGTCATCTAGGAATACCTGCACAGTACCCTTCTGTGACATGACATACTCCACTTTCCTGATACCAGCCATAGTGATAAAATGTCATCTGACTGATTTATAGGTTTTACGGCCGCTTCGCATTTATTGCATTTCGCGGACGGGGAAGTAAAGATAAATAGATTAAATATGAAAATCACCATACCCAAAAAACTGTAACTAGCCGGGGAGTAACCTAAATTATCCTAATGACTGTACTTCGAGAGTATTATTATTATGGGTGTTATTCTTGGGAGGAGACGTTAAGGGCCTTTACTATATTTTACAGGGGGACAGTGAGGTAAGGGTATAGCATATTGGGTAATTGAAGTTATGCAGTTGGGCTGCATTATTTAAATATGGGAAATAATTAAATGAAGAAAAAAACAAGGGTAAATGTTACAGCTGTATAGGCCAGTTGTCCCGGGGTCGTTGGGGGGGGCGGGGGGGGGGGGGGTTGTGACGTGGTTTGGTGGCGTGCGGTGTGGACTTGTTGTTGGCGCCGGCTGGCTTAACGACTCTATTGAGTTAGTGTATGGTTAACTGGGGTTATAGGCACGGACGTCGGAGAGGGCGACTGGTGTTGGAAATTTCGATCCCGATCCGAAAGTTTGGGTGTTTGTTTACTAGGGCATAGTTATGTTGTATAGATTTGTTTGGGAGGTTCTAAATTCGGTCTATAAGGTCGGCTTTGATGATGAATTGCGTTATTGCATTGAAGATGTAGATAGGGTTGGAAGGGTTGAAAAGTAGTGTGAGTACTGTGAGGTTTTGTTTATAGTTAGGAGGGATAGCCTGATAAAGTTCGGAGTGAAGGGTGTTATAGAAAGGACAGCTGTTAAAAATATGATATAAGTCTTCTGGTTGATTGCAATATGTACCTTTCCCGTCCGGGTGTCTGCCTTGTTTGTGTAGATTGTGGTTGAGGTTGGTATTTCCGCTGATGATTCTTGATATAATATTGTCCAAATGGTTAGAGCTGTTATAGTTGCGACATTTGAGATTGTATTGCGTAAAAAGTGTTTTGAGCCATTGCGAGTTAGTGTTTTGGATTATATTGTTGTAGTTTTGAAGTTTTATGGACTTTTTATATTTTTTCTTGATCTCCGCTTTGGAGGTATGGAAATAGATTTCTAATGAGGGCTGTTGGGTGGCTGTATTGGCTGCGATGTGTGCTGTGTTATTGCCTGGTATATTTGTGTGTCCCGGGGCCCAGAGTAGACTGATTTGTTTGTTGTTGTTGTTAAGTTGGTTGATGAGAGTAATAATGTTGTTGATGTTAGTGAGTCTGATAGTGAGTCTGATATTATTAGAAATTTTTGTTTTGATAGCGTGTATTGCTGTAAGGATATGGCTAATAGTTCCCCTGTGTTATTGTTAGTGAAGTTTTTATAGTGAAAGTTTGTGCTGACGGGGGGGTTGTTGGTCTATGTGTATTCCTAGTCCTGTTTTTCCATTGGTTTGGGATGCGTCGGTGTAAATGTAAGTGTGTGTCGGCCAGTTATTGTGGAGGTGTCTAAGGGTTGCTTCGGCCTTTTTTGCAGTTGGGGTGCCGGGGCTTTGTATGAAAAGTTCGTGGAGCGTTGTGTCAACTGGGGGGGATGGGAGGTCGGCTATGTTAAGCTCAATGGTTTTATCACTGAATCTTTTAATGTTACCTTGGGCGTTAAACAAGGATGCAAGTTATCGCCAACGTTATTTTCCGTTTATATTAATGATTTGGTGTTAGACATGAATAAGTTAAACTGTGGCATACCTATTGAAAGTTCTGTGTTATCAGTTTTGTTGTATGCTGATGATATAGCCTTGTTAGCTGAAGACGAAGACTCGTTACAGAAAATGTTAAATGTTTTAAATATATGGTGTCAAAAATGGCGTTTGGATATTAATTCAGACAAAACCAAAATCATGCATTTCAGAAACAAATCTGTGGCTAGATCTGAGCGAGTATTTTTTATGCGGCAAATCTATTATTGATTATGAAAGCTCTTACAAATATCTTGGTTTAACTTTTAATGAGCATTTAGATATGCACAAAACAGTCCAGGTACTGTGTAAATCGGCTAGCAGAGCTCTCTCTGCGTTGTATTCAAAGTTTAAACACGCGGGTGGCATGTCTTACGAAGTATTTAACAAGCTTTATAAAGCTCTTGTAGAACCTGTTCTATTTTATGGTGCTGGCATTTGGGGTTTGAATAAGTATAAGGAAGTAGAAATAATTCAAAATAAGGCTTGTCGTTTGTTTCTAGGCGTAAGAAAAAATGCCCCAGTTACTGCTATTAGGGGGGACATGGGCTGGTGTTCTGTGAAAGTGTCACAGCACGTTGAATGCTTTAGATTATATTTTAGAATTCAGAATATGCAGGCCCATCATCTCCCTCTTATCATTCATAATTGGTCCAAAATCCGATCACAATCCTGGGATAAAAAAATCGTAAACATTTTAGCTCACTATAATTTGTCATATTTACCTTATTGTGGATACAGCATTAAACAGTGTGTTGACCGTGTAAAGTGTTTCTTAACTGCTGAAGATTGTGATATGTGGTATACTGCGCTTTGGAATGACAAGAATAATCCAAATGGCAATAAATTACGCACATACAGAATGTACAAATCATCACCTACTGCTGAGCCTTTTTTATGTCATGTACGTTTTAGAGATCATCGAAGACTTTTAGCATCCTTTCGATGTGGTATTTTACCTTTACATGTTGAGACCGGCCGCTACGCCAAGCCACCTACCCCACTGTTGGATAGGACTTGTAAATATTGTCACGCCAATCCTACTAATGATCATGTAAATTATGTTGAAGATGAATGTCACTTTTTAATAGAATGTCCATTTTATGATGATTTAAGATACAACTTAGCTAAAGAAGCAACTTCAGTAGATAAAACATTTCATTATATGAGTAGTTTAGAAAAGTTTATTTTTATTATGAACGAAGAATCGCTCCAATGTATTTTAGCCAAATCAATTTACAACATGGTTAAAAGAAGGCAATTTCATTTTAAGCCAAGTATGTATGTATGTATGTATGTATGCATGTATGTATGTATGTATGTATGTATGTATGTATGTATGTATGTATGTATGTATGTATGTATGTATGTATGTATGTACGTACGTACGTATGACGTGTGTGTGCACGCACGCACGCACTCGGGGAGCGGGGGCGGCGCAACGCGGTGGGGGGAGTTAAGGGGGAGCGCACTGTTTAACTTAGGACTTTCGAAGTCAGTTGCCCTGTATCCTGGCATACTTGTGCGCTCCTCACTGAAACCGCCCACGGCCGTGCTCCGCGCCTGCATCACGAGGTATGTATTTATGTATATGTGTCTATGGATGTATGTATATGTGCGGTGTATGTTTAGTATGTGCATGCGCCTCCGTGTGGCTGAAAAGTAGCTTCACGTAGGTATGTGTACGTGAGCTACATTTTCTTTATTCTGTTTCAACTGAATAGTTTTATGATTGATATGTTTTATAGTGTCTCGTAGGTCATATTTGGTCGGATGTTATATTTTACTGTTTTGTATATATCTTATTACGAAGTGTATATAACATGTGACACTTTAATAAACAATATTCTCTCTCTCTCTGTATTGTAGGGAGGGGTGTGTGTGTGATATATTGCTTAGATTGTGGGTGTGTATTAGCTTATGTAGGTGGGTCATGTATGGGGCTTGGTCAGGGGATTTATTGAATTTGAATGCCGTTTGTTTGTTAATGTTGTCATATTTTTGTTTGAGTATTTTAAAGATTGGATTGTGTTGTGCCCCAGCCCAGTAGTTGAGGGGTGTCTGTTGTATTCTGTGTGTAATGGAGAGAGTGTTGGTCATGAGTATGGCGTGGTGTGAGGTACTAGTCCTGGTGCCGGTAGCTATTTTGAGGGCCTTATATTGAATTAATTTTATTTTGTTGTAGTTAGTAGTTGAAATGCCGCTTAGGACCGGAGCGGTGTAGTCGATTTTGGATTGAATAAGTGTTTTGTAGATGTTGAGGAGGGTTTGTTTGTCAGACCCCCAATTGTTACCTTTAATAGCTCTCATTAAGTTTAAATCTTTTTCACAAGAGTTGACCAATTTTGATATATGGGGGCCCCATGTAAGGTGTCGGTCAAATGTAACCCCTAGGAACTTAGCTTCTTTTTGGTATGTAATTTCTTTGTCATTAAGGTGAAGTTTGGGTGTGTAATTTTGCATATAATATTGTTTTTTGATGAGCATGCCAATGGTCTTTTTGGTGTTGATTTGGAATCCCCAGTTGGAAGCCTATTTTTTGATATTGTTTAAAGCAGATTGCATTCTGATTTTTAATAAATTGATGGAGGTCCAAAGGGAAACGTCATCTGCGAATTTTGCTGTGGTATTTTTTTCTTTACTTTTGGAATCTGAGAAGATGTCATTTATCATAAAATTGAATAGTGTTGGCGATAAGATGCTTCCTTGTGGAGTACCGTTTTGAATGGGGTGTGTGTCGGATAGGGTTTGATGGGATTTAACGGTGATGTGTCTGTCTGTTAGGAAAGAGTGAATGAAGTTTAGTATTCTCCCATTGATATGATTATTTTCGAGTTTTTTAAGGAGGCCGTTATGCCAAACCATGTCGAAAGCTTTGCTGAAATCTATAAAGATGGCCAGGGTGTATTGTTTCATTGATTGCGCAGTCCTAATGTCTTGTTCTAGGTGTAGAATGTGGTCTAATGTTTGTCTGTTATTTGTGAAGCCGCTCTGGTCCGGGCTTATCAGTCTGTTTATAGAGATGTGATGCTTAAGTCTATTATTGATAATTGATTCAAGGATTTTGCATGTATGGGAGGTTAGAGATATGGGGCAGAAGAA